GACACAGAGAGTGTGACACAGAGGGTGTGACACAGAGGGTACAACTTAACGAATATATATAGTGACGACGAGCCATTCCTTGAACCACGGAGAGACCGAATCCTGAACTGCCCAAACCACCATGGGGACAAAAGACCCGATACGGAAATCCCGTAACGGAATACACCACTATCGGAACTATAGTGCTCACCGAAAGCGACAATATACCGAATCCCCTGCTTATGGTATCGAGAATTTCATGCAGTGGCTCAACAACGGCAATTGCAGTGATATTCATGGAGAGAGTGGTTTCCTAGGCTTGCCCATGACCAACATGGTGAGTAACAGTCACTCAGTAACTCATCATGAGTTTTTCATTCAAAATAGCGAGCAAGAAATGGGTAGATAGTCCCCAATGAAGATAGTCGACCTGTCTGATCCCGAGGTACTTCACTTACCGTCTCAGGTAATTCCGTGATGACCGTCACTAGACTAACACAACCAGCACTGAATTTGAGAAGCTATAGAAATTCAGCTACCGTTAAGCCGTAGTATCACTGGGTATACTCGATGACAATTAATGGATCAGAAACGACCAAATCACTCTCCTTCACGATTAGTGGATTACGAATTAATGTTACAATGCGCGTAACGGGCGACTCTCCAGAATCGTAAGGGACAGAGCATACAATGGACCTCGTATTATAGCTTGATCACGGGAGAATAGCGGAGGTTCGTCTCCTCGGAGCATGCGAGGGAACTACTCACTTATTGAAGTGGAAGAAGGACAGACTCATCTTGAACTCAGCGACCAGATCCTGTCTTGAGTTGAAAACCTCTCTAAAAGAGCGCGCCGCGCGCTCTTCGAAATCTGCGATGCAGCTGGTGATCTTAATGCTGGTGAAGAGCTGCAGAAGGTCGTTGAACACGAGGTCGTATACCGATTTCTTCCGACTCGGCATGAGGATCAACGCACAAGGCGACATGACGAGGCAGTCCTTGTGCTTGACCAAGACGCCGTATTGCTGCTCCCAGAGAGGGCAGCATGCCGCGAAGGTACCATCGACAGAAAGGTGGAGTCCATTCTGACGCCGAGCAATCATCTCGATGTGGCTCCTGGAGGTGAAGATGAGGTGACGATTGGTATCGTCACGACCGGATTGAATTGCAGTATCTGCTCATCGGAGACAGCTCCTCCGGACTCAGACCTGAACGCAGCTCGCGTGTACTTGGGGGGGATGTCGAAACCATAGAGGCAACACGGTACAGGAGGCCGCGGGCTAT